AAGTGTCCTTTTGCTAGTTCCTGATCAACCAAATTGTTTAGAATTTGCAGCTTTTTGGTGGGTAGGGGCCACTGATCAACCCAGACTGGTGTATCTGTTTTCCAACTCAGTCTGGGGAGCTGCTGTACTTCAGTGACCCCTCCTAAAAATTTTCTTCTGGAGACAGGGTCCCTAACTTGAGTTCCCACTGCTCCATCGCGTCCCGTCCCCAAAGTGTGACTGGTATATTTAATACATACGGCTGGAGCGTCGCTGGTCTGCCCTCCGGCCCATAGATGGTTAATACCTCTCTGCTCCTGACGGGGTATTGGGTTCCCCCCACGCCACTGACTGAAACATGTGCTGTTTGGGCTGGCCATCCATGCGGCCAGACTCTGGAGGCTATGATTGTAACGTCCGCCCCCGTGTCTAGAAGACCCTCCACCTTGACTCGCTGCGGGCTCTTAGGCTGTGGAAAATAGATAAAACACGTTAGAAGAGGGCGAGAGGTTTTAACTGTGGTGGTCCAAAGGACCTCCTTTTCCGAGTTCTGTCTCTCCAATTCCCTCTGTTCCTCGTCTTTAGAAAGCACGTACAGCAAGTCTTCGGTGGAGATCATTTTTGCTACGGGGAAGCGGTCCTCCAGCTGCACAGGGGGAAGATGGACAGTTAGACAAATTGCGATGTTAGAATCTGTCAAGCCCGTCAGGAGAGTGGGCACTACTACAACGCCCTTACCGACTGCCGAAAAATGAGACGTAACCAAATATGTCAGATCCGGATCGACCGGGGCTGATGGTATGACCCTGGCCAATTGCTCGTATGAGCTTAAATGGACGGATGGGTGTATGACAGAAAGGATATTCCAATTCAAGGGCTTGCACTGCTCTCGGATGGGAACAGGGTCTGGCAGAGGTAACTGAACTACGGGGTAGCTGGGCGCGGTGATTGGCGCAGGATGGAGCGCGGTTGGGGGACAATTTGTGTCATCGCGCCCCCCCGGGCGCTCAGCCCCCCGTTTCCCGAATGCTCACATTCACATTGCCTCAGATCTGGCATAGATGAGAAGGTGACCCTTCTTTGGAGCTTTGGTGACCTTTTTGGGGAAAGGGGTTCGCCATTGACATTAGTTTTTGATCTGCAACTTGATGTCCAATGGCGACCCTTTCCACACCTGCGACATAAAGTGTCCGGTAGATTAGGGGTGGACGCTGACAGATTAGGACAATGCTTTTTAAAATGTCCTTTCTCCCCGCATTCAAAACACCGGTTGGGACCGGAAAACGCAGCAGCCATAAGACGTACTTTATGGGAGTTAGATCCTATGTTCTTACACGCCTCAATCATATCAAGTAAAGTGGGATCCTTTAAGAGCTTGAGTGCTCTTTGGCAGTCCTCGTTTGCTTTTTCGATGACCAAATTTTTAAATAGAATTTCTTGGCATTCTTTTTGTGGGACTTGCCGGGCAATAGCCTCTTTTAATCTGGTTATAAATTCAGTAAATGGCTCTTTTACGCCCTGGTTAATCATTGTGAAGGAGGGGGTCGGAACATAGGCATCGGCCACCTTCTTCAGGGCTTCTAGTGCCAATTCTTTAGACTTATCTAATAATATGGGGTCTAATTTCACTTGATCCCTTCTACGCGTGTAATCTCCCTCACCATAAAGCATTTCTACGATCTGCCGCGGGGGAGCCCCTCGCCTTTCTGCCTGATCATTCACCCAAGACACTATCTTCTTTTTCCATTCAGTTTCAAAAGCCGAGACCTGTACAGTAGTTAGCAGACCTCCCAACACAGCCCGTATATCAAAGGGTATTAACGTATAGGCCAGGAAGAAGGACTCCAACAACCCAAGGGTAAAGGGGGCGCCCAACCCGTACTCCACAATAGCTTTTTTAATGTCTTTTAGTATCGGGTACGAGATTGGACGCCACTCCGGCGGTTTGCCTTCCTCATAGTAGACGGGAAAAGCTTTTAAAAATTCCGCGTCTTTGGCGGTTGCCGCGTCTTCTCGAAAGGCCCTCCAAATGTCTGGCACGTCGGATGGCTCTTCCGGCGAGTACGGCATCCAATGACAGTTAGGGTAAGGATGCCGGCGGGCGGGGTAGGCCTCGGTGGCTCGGGCCTTATGGGCGCGGCCATCTTGGCGGATGTGATGTCGGGCCTTCGCCCTTGCCCCGCCCACAGCACCCCGTGGCTTCCTGGAGGGTGATGGTTCTGGGGAGGAGTCTGGAGTGGCGGAAGTGGGCGTGGAAGAGGGCGTGTCTGAGGAGGGGCTCCGCTCACTCGAATATGGGGGCGGAGGCGGCGCTGTGGGCGGAGTTACAAGCGCCCGCCTCCGCTTTTCCCGCCTTGATTTTTCCCGCACTTCCGGGGGCCCCGCCTCCTCGACGCCATTTCGCAGTCGACGCGATTTTCTCCTCCGCACCCTCCCGCCATTTTGAGACTCGGTGTCTGACTCCCGCCCGCCATCTTGAGTGCTGGTGCCTTTCTCTTCCCTCCCGCCATTTTGTTGAGAGGTTGCTGTGTCTTTGTCGGATTGAAAAGTGTCCATGTCCTTGCTTTTTGTGTCCAGATCCAAGTGTATTTTACTTTCTTCAGTTAACTTGGAGGGTCCAGCCTCTTGGATGTTACTGCTGGTCTTCTTGTTCATCATCTGGTGCTGAAGCACCATCAGAACAAGCCTCCAGGCGATAAGCGCCTCATTCGCATTTCGGTCACCCCTGCCCTCTCGCCACAGCTGGAATCCGATGGCTTGCCATTTATCAACTGTGGTGTCTTCGTTAATTTGATGACCGCGACGGTCAAGCCATTTGGCGAGGGCTTTCGCCGACTTTTTATCTAAAGGGTGACCGTGTTCTATAACAAAGTCTTTGAGGCGGCGATAAATATATTTTTGGGAGGTGGAAAGCGTGAGTCCCATGTTGTTAATCGGGTATCTCAACGCTCCCGGGTGTTATTCCTCCCTTTTTGATTTAAATAAGTTACGGGGGTGAGGTGATGGGTGAAGGTGTAGGGAATGCCCCCTGCAGCTCACCTTTCACGGCGCGCGACCCGTGCGACTCCTCGAAGCCCACAGTCGTCTGCTGTACAGGGGAGGGCCGGCGGAGCGATCTCCTCTCCTGGAGATGCTTGAGCCCTTGC